TCATATCATCTTGGTCTTGGGACCCATATGCATAGTCAGTACCGACGACTCCAAAGGTCCATATCTTTTGCACAAGTAGCCATGGTATTGTTTTCCCCAAGCAAGAGCCATATATAAACCACTGTATTGTTTCCCTCAGGTAAGGGCCATGTATAAACCACAGTATTGTTTCTCCTGGGAAAGGGCCATGTATAAACCACGGTATTGTTTCCCCTGGGTAAGGGCCATATGATCATGAGCCGCGGTATTGTTTCCCTCGGGCGAGGGCCATATAAACTAAGGATGCCACAATACATTTCATAAAATTGGACATTCATTCATGATTTATAAAATAGCATTTCATAAAACAAATCATATTTTATCATTCTGAAAATACTTATAATCAAACATAGCTTTACAAAGTTGTTACTCACAGATAGCTCCGATAGTAAAATGAACAGAGTAGACAGATCGGATAGCCTATGGTGCTTGACCTACACAAACTCCTAACAAATGCACATTGAACACTCGCCTGGAAAACAAATAACTCATTCATTTTCTATCTGGGTGTGTTTCTAATCCTTATCCTCATTATTATGTCTTAATTAAGGCTTAGAAATGCCTAAGATGCAATGAGGATGCCAAAATGTAAGTTGAAACACTTAGTCAAATTTTCAAAAACAGGGCAGTACGTTCAAGTGCAACTTCGGTTGCTCGAGCAGTCTGCAAAAGTACCGGTTACATGATTTTTACGCTCGACAGCCACTCGACGGTTGCTTGACCCAAAGACTGAGTAAATAGGGTCTCCGCTCCAGCGCAACTTTGTAAAACTCTGCAAAATTACTGGGAATATGAATTTTACACTCGAACTTAGACTTCTTCGCTTGAGCGGAGGTACAAATATATGGGTGGTCACTCGAGTGTAGGTTCTGCCACTCGAGCCAAACCCCAAACTCTGCAAAAGTACTGGGAGCTCGCATTCTTCGCTCGAGCGTAAACTCCACCGCTTGAGTAGAGAGTGCAAATTCTAGAATTTCCAAATTTGCTTCCCAAGTTCAAAACTCAATTCTCTTGCACCAAAACATGTTCTTTTGAGCCAAAACTTGAGGAAACACTTGTAAACTTATAAAACATCATGAATTAAAGACCATCTCACAAAATCAAGGCCCAAAAGCAAGTCAATTGTTCAAAAATCAAGCTTGAAATGTTGAAAACATAACATGCATGTAATGAATTGAATTCAAAGCCTCCAAATTATGATCAAATAAAGTAAAATGATGGAAAACATGATGAATTCCCAAAACTAAGGTAAAATTGTTATATGTATGCAAGAATTCTTGAAAATTAAGCTCAAAATATAAGAAAATATGCATGCATGGTATGACTTAAATTCCTCTATTTCTTGCTCAATTCTCATGATTAAATACTTCAACCTCTAAAATTCTTGCACTAATGTCTTGAATACAAAACTTAAGGACATGATTCTTACCTAGAGTTCTTAGTTTTTTAAGGTTTAGTGATAATCTTGAGCAACTCTTCAAATCTCCTAGCAAATTCCTTCCAAAACCCCAAGCTTTGATCTCGGACTCTCTTGGTCTCTTTTTCTCTCACATTTTTGCTCTCTAGGATGACAAAATGAGAGTGTTTGTAATCAAGAAGCCTTATATAGGCTTGGTTTTGTAGGCTTAATTAAGCTAGGCTTACCACTAATCAAATGAGCATTATTTTATTCTAATTACTTGGTTCTGAATTGAATTCTAATTAAACCTACCATAAAATTCTAAAAATTCTAAATAACAAATAAACGGAGTCAATTCCGTGATCAGATGCTGATAAGGCTTTCAATTTACATATCGAAACCGATATTCAAATAGATATTTCTACGACATACAGATATAAATACAAATAACATATATTACGTGTAATTAATGTAGAATTTTATCTTAATTATTTGTTAGGCATTCTTAATCATGGATTATAGGCTAATCACAAATCGGGGTTGTTACAGTACCTCAAGCTGCTAATCATTCTGGCATACTCCTTTTGATTAATCACTTTTTTCACTTATAATATGAAATAAATTTATGCTTGCATCAAAAGAAATAGAAACATGCTTTGTAGTTTAGAAAACTATAGTTCTTAAACATTTTCTCAATATAGTGCTCCTGGTTAAGAAAGATACCATCATTCATCTTTGTAATTTTTATTCACAAAATAAAATTGGTTTCACCAAGATTTTTCATATCAAAATGGCTATTAAACTCAAAACTAATAATCACATAATATATGCACTTATCACACTCATTAGTTTTATAGCCATTCTCAAGCATGCAAAAATCAAATTTCTAATGCCACTGGTTAGAAGTTTGTTTTAAACCATAAAACGGATATAATTAGTTTGCATACCTTGTTTTTTTGGCCAAGTTATGGTTGATTCATAGATCTCTATTTAAAAATGCTATTTTCACATTCATTTGATAAATTTTTAAATCATGAATCGTAGCCACTACTATTAGCAATCTAATAAATGCAACTCTAGTGACCGGAGAAAATGTATCAAAGAAATCAAGATCAACTTGTTACTTAAAACCTTTAGCAACAAGTCTTGGTTTATATTTGTATATGGTTCCATCCGGTTTAAGTTTTTTATGGAGGACCCATTTACACCCAATGATTTTACAACCAAAAGGTAAATCCACTAACTTCCATGTTTTATTTAAAAGTATTGAATTCATCTTATCATTAATAGCCTCTTTCCAAAAAATAGCATTAGGTAATGACAAAGCCTTTTGCATTGTAAGAGGAATTTCCTCTACATTATAAAGATAATAGCCAGAGCCAAAAACTTTTTCAACTTAGCTCTTTTACTCATTCTCGGTTGTATTTGAGCATTTTCTTGTTCTCAACCTTCCCTCTATAGAAGTTTGGTAGGCGCACTTCAATACTTAAACATCACCAGACCTGACTTCTATTAGAAAATATGTTAAAATCCATGTTTTTATGTAATGGGGTTTAGTATTTGATTTTAATAATGTTAATTATTCCAGTTTTAATGAGAATCATTATGAGCTTGTCTCATGTTCTTCATATGTATCTTTTATTTTACGAAGTATGTGATCTGGTATGTAGAGTACGGTTTACACATGGAAGATCTGATCACTAGTTCTTGTAGAATATAAGTGGTACACAGTCTAAGATAGATTTGGACACACCATCGGCACAACTATAACATGGTGTTTGAGTAGATTTGTCTTGACTACAAAAAAGGGTAAAGTTTCAACTCATTGTGCTAGTACACTTTGTGTGTATTGAGCGAGACCGTCTTGGGATAATTGTTCATGTACTAATTAGATGAGATAATTTACATCCCATAATTATTATGAGTGCTTGTGCTCTTAACCTGGAAATAATTAATAATCACGTGCATTTAGTGTTTGTTATTTTGATTCATAAGAAAGGTGAGATTCTTTATGGGTCAATAAGCTCAATGAGTTAGGTGATCACTTTATGTGTGTGATGGATATTGTCCTGGTTTAGGGAATGATAATACCCCCTTGAAGAAGCTTATAAGTTTTGATTATGTCAAACCCTGCAGGTGGATTTTGTATCTGACGTATCAAATAAGTTAAGTGGAAGGTCTCAAGGAAATATCAAGAAGTCAATTCAATTTAATTGTCAGTAATTTATTTAATTGATGGGTATTAGTTATCTTAACGTGGGTAGATAAATAAACATTTAATAATGTAGAGCTCAAAATATAATTTGAAGATTAAGATAGAAATGCAATTATAATTCTTTAGTGGTATGAATTATAATTTATAAAATTAAGAATTATAATTCAGGTTGAATTAAGTTTTCTTAATTCTATAGGAAGTCTTAATCCTAATCTACTTTTAATGGTCCCTGCCGTAGCCTATATATATGTGTCCTTGTAGCTCTTTAAAAAGAGATAATTTTTTGGGTTTAGAGAGAGAGCAGGGAAGTTCACATTTTTTAGCCCACACTCAGTTTGTGATCAGGCATAAGGAGGGAATACGGTAGAAGATTGTAAGGCGAAACCAAGTTCGGAATTCATTAACTACAATATTTTGTTTGTGATATAAACGAGATCAAATCAGATAGATCTCAAAGGTATAAACCCTAATTCAGCCTTGTAGGGTTTTATAGATCATTGTAATTTTTTTGGTCTAATCTATACGCAATATCACTGGGTATTGTGAATTTGGTCCCAACGACTTCACCTTTGCAGTCAACCATGCTTGTTATGTAGGAACCTGGTTTCAATTACACAATAAATAGGGAGATTGGAGTGGATGTGGTCCACAGAATCAAGGTGGTGTGGGTTTAGTGGAGGAGTGTATTTGAAGTACTATGTAATAAACGAGTACCCATTAAACTAAAATGGAAGTTCTATAGAATGACTATTAGACCAGTGATGTTGTATATGATAGAATGTTGGGCAACTACGAATCAACATGTAGATAAGATGAGTATTGCTGAGATGAGGATATTAAGGTGGATGCGTGACAAGACTAGAAAAGACAGAGTTATGAATGAGTATATTCGAGAATGGACAGGAGTAGTATCGATAAAAGATAAGTTGAGAGAAAATAGATTGAGATGGTTTGGTCATATACAACAGAGACTAATAGAGGCAGTAGTGAAGAGATGCGATATAGTGACGGTAGATGATAGTGTTAGGGGAAAGGGTAGACTTAAATTGACGTGGACTAGTGTAATAAATAGAGATATAAATTTCCTTAATTTGACTAACAAAATGGCATTAGATAGAGTCGAGTGGAGAATAAGGATTCATGTAGCCGACCCCATTTGATGGTACTTAAGGCTTGGTTTGGTTTGGTATGGTTTTGTCACAATCCAAACCAACCCCTATAGGTTTAGCATCGTAACCGACCAGTAATCCGTAGATTACCAAAGGCCTCTTAAATAGAAATCAAATTATTAAGGGCTAGCGGAAGCAAATAATAAATATACAATATCCATTGAGCTGTGCAGACATATATGAGACAGAAAAATTTTAAACTTTATATATATATATATACACATCATCCTTACGTCATCATGTATATATACAGATAAGACAAAAAGGAACTTAGCCCTAATTATAGAATAAACAAAAACTTAAACTTTAATCATACAGCCTTGACCACTTGACGTATCCGGAACCTCCGCGGGAAGTACATAGGTTGGCTAACAAAGATAGATTCTAGGAAGAAACTCTAGGCCTAGTTATGCGCCTGATCACCTACATACATAAATAATACAGTGAGCTGGAGTTCAATGAATAACAACAAAGTAAAGGTTTTAATGAATGATGTCTCATAATAGATTCAAAATCCAGAATTCAGATTAGAAATAGATTCATATTCATATCAAATTCTCATAGATAATTATACGTGGTTCATCTATTAGCGTTAATAAATCCGATGGCTCATGAATACATGAGATGTATAGATGACCCATAAAGGAACCAAATGATCCATAAAGGGACCAGATGACCCGTAAAAGGACCAGATGACCCATAAAGGGACGTATACAAAGTAGATAAATAGTTATGCATAACCAACCCTAGTACCATGTCATATAACAGATATCATATGATGCTAAGGATGCCACAAATACATTTCAAAAAGTTGGACAATCATTCATTTAATCATAAAATAGCATTTCAGAAAACGAATCATATCATATCATTTGGAAAATACTTAAAGTTGAACATAGCTTTACAGAGTTATTACTCACAGATAGTTCCAGAAGCAAATTAGACAGATTAGATAGATCAAATAGATCAAGTAGACGATAGCGCCTGACCTACACAAACACATAACATATACATATTGGAATACAATATCACTTCCTTGATCAAACTTGACTTCTCTTGTCTTTTTCTGTCTAAGTAATCCTAAGTTCTACTACGCTTATTCTTTCTTTATTCAAATGAATTGGGTTCTTATTTCAGATATTTTTTTTATTATTAATAAATCATTCTTTTCCAAATAGACCAATTTCTTACTTGGATTCTTAATCAAGTACTACTAAGTCAATGACTTATTCTTTAACCAACTAATTTATGGTGATTGTTAGCTTATTAATCCTCAATGAGTTATAATTCTTGCTTAGAAATGTTTGGGAGAAGATGAGATGAAAATTTAAATAAAGTATGATTTTTCAAAACATGCTGAAAATAGCCTGACCGCTCGAGCCACCAATTGGTCGCTCGAGCGTTCTGTAAATTTTTTGAGTTCCAAAACTAAAGATTTATCTTTCAAATTTCATTTCAAAACTTAGATTCATGCATATTTAAACATGTACTGTCATTAATAAATATGAACACATAACTAATTTTCAAATTTTAATGCAAAACCCCCCTTAATTTGTCAAGATTAAAACTACAACTTCATGAATATAATGATTTCAAAACTTTTCTTTCTTTTTTCTTACAAAATATGAAATTAAAGCTATAAGGCTCTTAGAAAAATATTTACATATATGAAAAGATCAAACTAATTCTTGATTGTCATAATCAAATTATAATTTATTTCTTAATTTGTCCAAATTTAGATTTAATTCATTTTCTTCATATCAAACCCAATTTCAAACTCATAAATTCTAAAACATGAATTAAACTTTTAAAATATAATTTCAAAACTTGGGTTCATACATGGCTTGTCTAAAAATATACAAATTCTTAAATAATCAAGAAAATATGATCAATTTTAAATTATTTAAATCAAAACTCCTTTAATTTAAAAATTAAGCTCATTTGTTTATAAACTCATAATTTCCCAAACTTAGTTCTTGTTTCATCAAAACATAAAATAAATTCATAGAAATCTATAATGCATGTACAATTGGAGTATTTAAACTTGTAGAATTTGTTCATGCATATAGAAATGAAACTCAAATTCATGCAAGATATTCAGAATCAAACTCAAAATAATTAATTTCTAAATTTAACTTCTATAACTTGAACCTAATTTCATTTCTTCATCTCCTTACTAATTTCTTTCTAATTTTATGAAATTGATCCCAACTATTATTATTTTTTTAATTTCAACTTTTAAATAAACTATCTACAAGATCTAAACTTTAATTTCTTACCTAGAGCTATGGATTGTTGAATTCTTGAGTTTACTTCTTCCAATTTTCCAGCACAAAACTTGAGCTCTTTTTCTTCTTCAACTATCTAATTTCCTTCTAATTCCATGAATATAATTCCAAACTCTTCTCAATCTCAAGTATAATATGGAGATTTTACATAAATCAAGATAAATCTCATACCTTAAACTTTAATTTCAGCAAATTGAGTTTATTTTCCTTTAAATCCCCTTGTTCTTCCTTCAATTTCCATCACAAAGTGGGTTTCTCTCTCTACATGCTTGAGCTCTCAAACTTACTCTCTTTCTAAACTTCTTCCAGCAGAAATGACGGACTCAAGAATGAGCTCCCTCTCTTCTTCTTGACTCACATACAACACACACACTTCACGTCTTATTAATGCCCCACGTGTGCACACACTTGCACCTCTTCTTTGAGCTCCAACACAACAATGACATGTACACACATACTAAGGGATTGTTTGGAATGTTCTAAATAAATGCATTTTTTGACTTTTTATGAAATATGGATTGGGTTTGAAGTGATGTGGCAGAAAGGTGATGTGACTTAAATAGGATAGTAATTTTTTGACTTTTTGACTTTTTTAGGGGATGCCAAACCTAACTTAAATATTGATCCAACACAACCTATTGGGTATAATCCTCTACACACCACCCCACAATTAATCACATTACACTATTTCACAATTAGTCATATGGGTAGGGTTAGCTTAACTCTTTATACAATTAGCTTAATTAAACCACATTAACCATATTTAGTCTGAATTGATCAATTCTCACATAACTTAATTAGTCTAATTAACTTCAATTAAAGCCCAATTAATCATAATTAAATCTCTCAATTTGAATAAAATTTTTAATCAAACTCCCAAAAGATTCCGAATATCAAATAAGATTTATTACCATCATCAATTTTGGTTTTTGAAATCATTAATGCCTTCAATTTCAAATCAAACTCCGAATCCCCGTCAATAAATTACATACTCAATGAACACATCATAAATAAATTTAATCTTAATTCCAAATTCTCACAAATTAATCAACTCTAATTCAGATCCACTTAACAAAATCTCAATTTTACTAAACTGAATCGAATATTTAATTAAACTTCCATATGGTCCGATACTCGAAATTAAAATCATTCAATTCACCAATTATAATCTCTTGAGATATTTAGGCTTTCAATTTCTAATTCCAAAAATAAATTCTCAATAGAATCATATACAAATCAGTCTCCACACTTTTCATAAATCCTAAATTAAATTAGAATAATAGGCAATTAACATTCAAATCTCCATAATTGATTAAATGCTAACTATTATACGCAGTGGGGTCATCACAGGTTTGGTTTATTGTTGAGTTTTACATTCACATACATAACACGTGTTACTGGCGGAGAAATATTCAAATCATGCGCATTCTATGATTAAACAATATTATTTAAAATGAATGATTATACTATCATATAACAAAGTAAAAATAAATAAAAAAATATTTTAAAAAGAAAAGTGATGCTATTTTTTTTAGGACAAACTTCACTTTATCCCCTTGTGGTTTGGCCGGGTGCGGATTACCCCACTGACATTCGAAAATCACCACATAACCCCATGTGATTTATGGACTAAAATGCACCGTTAGTTTTTCTGTTTAAGATAACGGGCTATGGGAGTCACACACCTATATAGAGAGTATGTCTACTTTTAAGACAGAAATGCCCTTTATACATCTTCAAATTTACCAAAGAATGCCTTTGTTTTTTTCTTTTTTATTTTTTTTATAATGTTTCTCAATCAAATATATATATATATGTATGTATGTATGTATGTATGTATGTATGTATGTATATACACAGTGAACTCTCTCTTCCTTCACCTCATCGTGTGCAGATTTGCCTTGAGAGGTAAAACACTCATTTTATAGCCCCTTTTCTTCCGATGTGTGGACTACAATTTCAATCTCCATGTCAAGTGTGTTCCAACATTGCCACCAACTTCCAAAGATAAACATCACAGGCATCCCTTTACTCTCACCAATTCTCATATCTAAGATCATCCACCGTGTATGTACATACATACACAGTGAACTCTCTCTTTCCTAATCAAATATATATATACATGCACAGTGAATCAAAAAATATAATTTTAAATTTCTGATTCATCAAACATCACCAAATCATCTACTTCATCAAATATCTCCAAAATTATATTTTATACACACAAACATATATATATTGTGTGGGTGATTTTCTGACCACACTGCCCGCTTAGTAACCAGTTGGAGAGCACCGGCAGAATAAATGGCACCTGGCTGACCTGCAACAGAAAGAGAAGATTTCGACGGTGGTTCATCCACCTGGGGGCACTCCGACGATCAAGTCAGTATATCTCTCAAAGATAATCAAGTGCTAAACTCACAAGCTTGAGTATCAAAAGCATAAAACTGCATACCTTAGACCCACGGGGGTGCCTCTCTTTTATAGCCAACTCAATCTTGATCCCACTAGAAGCCTGACTTCTATGGACTCCCATTCAGTACTTACTTTGGACTCCTCAAGAGATAAAGATAAACTCCCTAAGAGTTTTATCCTTATCTTAGCTAAGTCTTCTCTTTACTTTAGGACTCTTGTCCCTTATCTTTTATCCATTTATCTCAAATTCCGATATCTTCGGAGATAATCTCGGCCTTGCCGAGATCACCTCGGCGTCACAACCTGGACACGTGGCACTTCGGCTGACACGTCGGCGTCACCTTGCCACGTGTTGGTATTCAGAAAATATATCCCCACAACTGCCCCCTAGGTTCACCTTGGCTGACACGTCGGTGTCACCTTGCCACGTGTTGGTATTCAGAAAATACATCCCCACAACTGCCCCTTAGGTTCTATTACCTCGACATTCTGAAGTGATGGAACCTATATCTGTATTTTCTTCCAGTAAATCGGCTTAAAGTTTGATAGCCGAGATCATCTATTTCTGGCCGGCATGCTTCCCCTAAAAAATCAAGATTTTTAAGGTTCTCTTCACACGCATGAGCTGTCATGCACTTCAACTCAACCGTTTTAATTACGTGTTTCTTTCTTACTGGTTCGTGCCTGTGACGCGCCCATAAGTCATTTCCTTCTCACATGCGCCGTCTGACGTATCCGCTCTTTTAGGCGTATTGATTACTTTTTTGCCGCCGTTTTCATTTTTTTTGACAAAATCTTTCCCCCTTTCTTTCGTCTCTTCACTTTTGCATCTAAGTTCTCTTGTTTTTTCTCTCTCTAAAACTCTTTCTTTCAAACCTGCCATCGCTCAAGCTTCCCAAGCTCTGCAACTTTCTCCGTTCACCCCTTCCGGCGAGATTTCCACCGGTCTTCTGCTTCTGCAACCATCGTAGGACATCGGCAAATCCCTTTCCGGTTTCCCTTTTTCTGGTAAGCTACTGTTCCTTTCGTTTTTAGTTCCTGATGTTTCTTCTTCTTTTGCTGCCGTCATGACTGTACTGTTTCAAGCTTTTTCAATTTATAAATCGTACATCTGAATGCATTCATTCATGATTTTGCCTTTGCCCATATTTTGAACGCACGCACTGTTTCACTACTTCTTTGCACTTTTGCCACTGTTCTTGGACATATACTCTTGTATTCTTCATGTTCTTGATAGCCCATCCCAATACTTGTTTCTGAAACTTTGTTTTTGTTTTCTGTTTTTTGCATCTTTTCCAGATCTGTACCTTTGATCTTCATCTTCATAGCTTAGGTTTGGGATTTGTTTGTAGAACCCACGATTTAGGGCAAAACTGAAACATTCCTTACAAATCTCTGTACCAGCCTAAACCTAGGTTTTTGCCGAGGTCCCAACAACAAGAAACATCTTCTTTTTGAATTTCAACCCTTCTAATTCAAGCTAATATCATGGGTATGTGGAGACATAGGGTAGATACCCCGACCAAACTTGACTACTTTAGGCAGGAGTTCTCCATCCCTGCCGATGTCCATCTGAGACTGGCTGGGGATAATGACTCCATCATGCCTACAGAAAACGCCATGCCCCTTCCCATTGTAGTTTTTACTAAGTGTGGACTCCGACTTCCACTCAACATCCTTTTTCGCGAGATCCTTCATTATTATAAGTTGAACCCCATGCAACTGGCAATCAACTCTTATCGAGTGATTTTTGGTATTATTGCCTTAGCTAGACAAGAAAACGTTAGGATCACCCTAGCCGATATACAGTATTGTTACACCATGTGTGCCCTGAACTTGAAAGAAAAAGGCTTCATTTATTATCTTAAGCCGAGGTCTACAGAATTCAAAATCGTAGCCGACCTCACAAACTCCAACAAAGGGGCTGGAGATGACTATCTTATTACCTCAGGAAATTGGGAGTTTGCTCCAGACGAGGACATCCATCTCTGCCCTCTTCCCCGATCAGTTTTAGAGGACAAGGGTAAGAGCCCAGCATTTAGCTTTGCTTGTTTTCTTTCAAAGTCTTAAATATTCTGTCTGTTTTTGACGTCTCTTCTTTTTGCAGCTGTTTGTCAGCCACCAAAAAATTTTTGCCAATCCTTTGTCCCCAGCAAAGACTTGAAGAGACTTCTGGATTTTCCAATCGAGAAGCGAAAGGCACCCCTGCTTTTCAACTTCATCCCAACATACAGATCAGCTCTCCCCGACATCCCCAGGAAAAGGAAGAAAAAGAGCTCATCCCCTTCCTCTGCTACAACTCTTCCAGTTGCTTCATCATCGCAAACAGACCAAGGATCAACCTCTGATCCAGCAGAACAGCCGTCGACCTCGGCTCCATACCTCATTCCACCATCCCAAAGAAAACATCGCCGACGTCTTGTTCTTGCATCCGAGATGGGTCGTGCAAAGCCAGTTGCCAAAGACCTTCTAGCCGACATTCCATCATCCATTGATGAACAACCAACACAAATCCAACCTCCAGAAAAACCAAAAAGAATAAAGAAAGCTCAACCGAAGGCGAAAGTGGCCCAGGTTGAGACTAAGGACACTTTGCCAGTCCCACAACTGGCTCCAAGTCAGAGAACTGCCTCTATCCCTTCAAAGAGGTCTGCCGAAGTACCTCCTTCTGAATCTTCCAAATCAAAAAAGCCGAGGTCATCTGCAACGACTTCGGGGTCAAAGAAACCAGCTGTCCCCTGGGCCCCCGAGATCACCCTAGAGGATAAGCCTGTAATGGCAAGTGATAGTGCCGACGATATTAATGTCGGCGTTGCGCTCAGTACTGCCTTACTTCTCCCAGGCGATTTGGAGCAGAACGCCAAGTACAGCGAGTATGAAAATTATGCCTTGATGTTACAGCACTCTGTCCAGGTAAATGTCTTCTTCTTGGCAAATTTTTTCTTTC